AAAGACATCCCAAGCAAATGGGCCCCAAAAGCAAGCATGAGTAGATAAAATAGACTGAGATAAAATTAATCAGAGAGACAATGAAGGTCATTTCATATTAATAAAAACAACATTCCACCAAAAGGAAATAACAATTGTTAACATATAAGCACAAAATATTGATATGTCCACCTTCATAAAACACCACTGGATTTATAAGTCAGACAGACCCTCCCACACAATAATAGTGGGAGAAGTCAATGCTCCATTCTCATCACAGAGAGGTAATGCAGACCCTCATCCCAAAAATAAACAAACTTCAGAAATAATTGACACTATAAACAAACAAAAAACCTCAATAAACACTTATAGAATCTCTCATCCAGCAACTACACAATACATATTCTTCTCAGCAGCCCATGTCTACAAAAGACACAAAATAAGTCTTAACAAAATAAGAAAACTGAAGTAATCTGTATTCTATTAGACCAATAAAACTAGAACTCAAACAAAAACAAAACTATAGAAAATATTCACACACTTGGAGACTGAATGTTATTGAATGACCAGCAGATCACTGAAGAATTAGGAGGAAAATAAAAAAATTCCTAGAATTTAACAAAACTGAAAAGGAAGAAAGAAAGGAAGAAAGAGAAAGAAAGAAAGAGAGAAAGAAAGAGAGAAAGAGAAAGAAAGAAAGGAAGGAAGGAAGGAAGGAAGGAAGGAAGGAAGGAAGGAAGGAAGGAAGGAAGGAAGGAAGGAAGGAAGGAAGGAAGGAAGGAAGGAAGGAAGAAAGGAAGGAAGGAAGGAAGGAAGGAAGGAAGAAGAAAAAGAGAGGAAGAGGAGGAGGGAAGGAAAGAAGGAAGAGACAAGAAAAGAGTGAACTCTCAAATGAGTCGCCTAAAGATACAACTCAAGGTCCTAGAAAAATAACAACAAACCAAACCCAAAGTGAGCAAAGTGAAAAGAAATAATAAATAGGAAATAAATTCATGAAATGGAAACAAAAAGAAATAAAAAGGATAGACTAAACTTAAAAAAAAAAAAGAAAAGGTTTCTTTAAAAGGTAAATAAGCCAGGCGTCAGTGGCTCACACCAGTAATCCTAACTACTCAGGAGGCTGAGATCTGAGGATGATGGTTCAAAACTAGCCAAGGCAGAAAAGTCCCAGTGGACTCTTATCTCCAATTAACTACTCAAAAATCGGAAGTGGCACTATGGCTCAGAGTAGTAGAGCCTTGAGGAAAAGAATTCAGGCCAATGCCCGGACCCTGAATTCAACCCCACAACTGACAAAAAGAAAAAAAAAGATTAATAAACCTTAACCAAACTGAATATAAAAGAAGGAATCCATATTAATAAAATTAGAAGAAGAGAGAGAAAGAGAGAGAGAAAGAGAGAGAGAATCATAACATCTAGGGGCCATGAGGGAATATTTTGAAAACATATTCTAATAGACTAGACAATCTAAAGAAATGAATAAATTTCTAGGTACATTTGAATCAACATGATATAAATCAATCAAAATTGAATCAACATGATATAAACAACTTGAAAAAGTCTATACCAAGCAATGAGATAGAAGCCATAATATTCTCCCAATAGTCAGGCAGAGTAATAGAGAGGATGAGATTGACTAAAATACATTGTAAAGATGTATGAAAATATAAGTGAGCCCCCTCCCCATGTAACTAAATATAAACTAATAGAAAAAAAGAGTCTTTCAACAAAGAAAAGCCTAGGATCAGATAGAATCATTGCTCTTTAAAAATCTTTACCATCTATACAGCTGAAAAAGGCCTTACATCCAAAATATGCAAGGAGTTCAAGAAACTAAATAACCCAATCAATAAATGGGCAAAGTAAGTAAATAGAGACTTCTCAGAAGAAGTAAGAATGGCAAATAAACATATGAGGAAATGCAAATCAAAACAACATTGAGATTACATCTCATCCCAGTAAGATTGGTCAACATTGGGAATTTGAAAACAACAATGCTGGCAGGGATGCAGCAGGTGGGATGGGAAGAGAACCATAATGTACCATTGGTGGTGTAAACTAGTATAACCACTCTAGAAGGCAGTTTGGAGACTCATGAAAAAACTAGACAGAACTTCCCTATGACCCAGCCATACATACCACTCTGGGGCATCCACCCAGAACATTACAAGTCAGGATATGGTAAAGACGCTTGCACATCCATGTTCATTGCTGCACTATTCACAACAGCCAAGTTATAGAAACAGCTCAGATGCCCTACAACAGATGAGTAGATCAATAAAATGTGGTACACATACACAATGAAGCTTTACTCATCTATTAGAATAATGTTATATCATCTGCAGGAAAATGGGTAGACCTAGAACAAATCATTTTAAGTGAGGTAAGCCAAGCTCAGAGAGACAAACAGCTCATGTTTTCTCTCCTACGTGGAAGCTAGGTTTAAAATACAACTAAACATGATCATTTATACTGGGCTTTATGTAATTACACTCAAACTTACTAAAGGAGGATATACGAAGGGGAGGAATCCAAAAATGTAACTTCTCTGAACATCTAAAGTACTAATTATCAAGATAACCTGCAAGAATTGAAACATGTTTGGTTGTTCCTTGTTTGTTTCATTTTAATTTCTTTGGTTTTGTTTTTCTTTTGGGGGTGGGAAAAGGGAAGGCATAAGAATGGAGGAAAGAAAGGTGAGAAAACTCAGTCACTGTATTCAACATATACTATGTTTAAAAATGAACTATCTAACTTGTAGGTAAGTATGGGAGGGGGAAATGGGTGAAAGCAAAGGAAGGAATGAAAATGCCCAAGGAGCATTATACTCATAAAAGTATATGTACTCATAAAAGCATTATACTTATAAAAGTATAATCCCTGGAAATGGTGCTGTGGCTCAAGTGGTAGAGTGCTCGGCTTGAGCTGAATTGTTGAGGGACAGCGCCCAGGCCCAGAGCACAAGCCCCATGATGGACAAAAAAAAAAGTATATCCCCTTTGTGCAACTCCTTAAAAATAACTATTTAAGCCAGGCACCAGTGGCTCATGCCTGTAATCCTAGCTATGCAGGAGGCTGAGATTTGAGAATTGAAGGGGTTTTTTTTGTTTGTTTTTTTGTTGTTGGTTTTTTTTTGATCCGGTCATGGGGCCTGAACTCTGGGTCTGGGCGCTATCCCTCAGCTCTTCAGCTCAAGGCTAACGCTCTACCACTTGAGCCACAGCGCCACTTCCAGCATTTTTTTTTCTGTTTATGTGGTGCTGAGGAATCAAACCCAGGGCCTCATGCATGCAAGGCAAGCGCTCTACCACTGAGCCACCTTCCCAGCCCTGAGGATTGAAGTTCTAAGCCAGCCCTGGCAAGAAAATTCATGAGATTCTTATCTCCAATTAACCAGGGGGAAAAAAATGAAGTGGTGCTGTGATTCAAGTGGTAGAGAACTAGAGCACAAAAGCTGAGAAACAGTGCCCAAAACCTGAGCTCAAGCCCTACAAAACTGGCACAAAAGAAGAGCAGCAGCAGCAGCAGCAGCAGCAGCAGCAGCAGCAACGACTACTGGCAGGATGCTGGTGGCTTGTGCCTATATTCCTGACTACTCAGGAAGTTGAGATCAGAGAATCATGATTTGAAACTAGTCTGGACAGAAAAGTCCTGATAATACCATGCCCAACCAACCAGCAAAAAGCCAGACTGGAAGTATGACTCAAGTGGTAGAGTATCAGCCATGAGCAAGCAAGCCCTGAGTAAACGTGAAGTCCAGAGTTAAAATCATGTTACCAGCAAAAATACACAAACACGCACAGAACTATAACAAGTATACTTGAAACTATTTCATGGAATATAAAAGGAAAAACACTCAAATTCATTCTACAACAGTATTAAAACTAATAGCAAAACCAAACAATGACATGATTTAAAAAAAATAGTAGGTCAATTTCCTTAATGAACATACATACAAAGATTCTCAGCAAAATAGCATACATACAGAGATTCTCAGCAAAAATCACATGATCATCTCAAAAGAAGATGGAAAAAAGTCTTTGATAAAATTCAACATGTTATCATGATAAAAAGCTCTGAAAAGACAGGCGCTGGTTGCTCACACCTGTAATCCTAGCTACTACTCAGGAGGCTGAAATCTGAAGATTGCAGTTCAAAACCAGCCCTCACAGCAAAGTCCATGAGATTCTCCAATTAACCACCAGAAAACCAGAAATGGCACTGTGCTCAAGTGGTTTTCACCTTGAGCTGAAGAGCTAAGGAACAGTGCCCAGGGCCAGAGTTCAAGCCCCATGACTGATTAAAAAAAAAAAAAAACTGAAGAAGCTTAGAAGGAACACACCTCACCATAATAATAAAGGCTATATAAATGACAAACATATAGCCAACATCATACTAAATGGGGAAAAACTGAAATTATTTCCTCTAAAGTCAAGAAATAAACAAGTGTGTACGCTTCCCACTCTTACTCAATGTAATAAAAAGTATATACTAAAATTGCTAGCCAAAGCAATAAGACAAATGAAAAAAAAAAAAAAGAAAATGAATTCAAATAGGGGAGACAGAAGTCAAATTATATCCATTTACAGATGACTTGATCCTATACCTAAAAGACCCTAAAGAGCTGGGTGCTGATGGCTCACACCTATAATCTGAGCTACTCGGGAGGCTGAGATTTGAGGATGGCACTTCAAAGCCAGCCTGACCAGGAAAGTCTGTGAGGCTCTTATCTCCAATTAAGCACCAAAAAACTATAAGTAGTGCTGTGGCTCAAAGTGGTAGAGTGCTAGTCTTGAGCAAAAGAGCTCAGGGACAGCACTCAGGCCCTGAGTTCAAGCCCTACAATCGACATTAACTAGCTAATTAATTAAAATAAAGCAATTAAGCTTATATAATTATGGGTACAGCTAATCAAGCCCCCTTGTTGCCCCCCCCATCCCAGCAGCATGGCCTTCTAGACACCCTGGTCCTCCTTGCTCACAGCCCGCGTGCACACGCGTCCCCTGAGTGGCGCATCTCACCTGGGCCCCGGTGCCTCTTCTCCATCCAGATGTAACAGTTGTTCTGAGCCACTCCGGTCTGCGAGTCCAGGAAGGGAAGCCGCACACTGCGCTCTGCACACAGCCTCGAGTTGTAACTCCGGCAGTGCTCAATGGCTTCCTTGTAGAACTGATCCCCAAGCCTGCCAGGAGACAAGAGAGGGAAGGAGTTGAGGCCCCAGAAAACCAAAATGCACCCGGGGGAAACTGAGGCAACCCCCTTCTCCCTAGGTAGAACTACAGTGAGCACCAACAGCCTTTTCATGGAAAGAATGCAACGCGTATCAACTCTACAGATGCCACATCCTGTCCAGGTTGCATAGAAACGCTACCATAAAACAAAGGTCCCCATCAGGAAAAGCCTTCTGAGCAGCATCAGGTCTGGCTCCAAAAAGGAGGGTGCTCTGGAAGGATGTTCTGCCTAGGAGGAGACCTCCAGCTTCTAGAAGCCCGCCTTTAACAATCCCACTTTCTTCTCAGAGGTCACCAGCAAAGAATCCTCGGTTCCCAGTACAACGAGGAGAGCCATGTCATAGAAACAAGACTGGGAGACAGGAAACACCTGTAAGGTAGAGCTATTTATTACCAGGAAGAGAGACACACCTCTACCTTCTAAAGCCACATAAAGAAAAGTAAGTTTATCTGATGGAAAACAAGTAAAATAATCAGTGACTTCAATATAACCCCACTCTCAAAGTGGAATGAAGACACAAATAGAAGACTCTTTTGTTTTGAAGAGTGGTGATCTTTGGTATTCTTGGGAGTGAACAGGGAGTGGTGTGTGTGTGTGTGTGTGTGTGTGTGTGTGTGTGTGTGTGTGTGTGTGTGTGTGTGTGTGTGTGTGTGTGTGTGTGTGTGTGTGTGTGTGTGTGTGTGTGTGTGTGTGTATGCACCAGTACTGTGATTTGAACTCAGGACCTAGTAGTCTCACTTGGCTTTTTTGCTTAAATCCGGCCTCTACATCCAGCTTTTTGCTGGTTAATTACAAATAAGAGTCTCAATGACTTTTCTGCTCAGGCTGGCTTCAAACTGTGATGGTCAGATCTCAGTCTCCTGAGTAGCTAGGATTATAGGCATAAGCCACCAGCTATTAATATAAAGATAGTATCTTTTTTTTCAAAGTCCAAACATATAACCCTGACACAATTGGTCAAATGTGAAACACAAACACAATCGATGACAGAAAACACCTAACAAATAAAACATAGGAACATGTTGGAAGCAAGTAAGTAGTCTGAGAAATTCTAATGTAATACCATGATCTCTTCTAGGTAAACTTGAGCCTCTTGTGGGAGAGGGGACAGGAAGAGGGAGCCACAGGGATTTCAAGGACAAAAGGGAGAATCATGTCTAAGCAACATTTTGCTGACATTGAAGCAATAGGATGAATGTTCCTTTGTTTTGGATCTGTGTAGACTTGAGGAAGTCAAATCTAGGATGGAAAACATCTCTAGATTAGAAGTAATGTATTTGATCTCTAGATGAGAAATAATGTATTTGTAAACCAAAATATTTTAGAGAAATAAAGAAAGTAAATTTGAGGATATTTTTCCAATTAAAAAAAAACTGTGGAGAAATACACATAACACTTAACCATCTTGTTCATTGTTGTGTGTCTACCCCAGTGGTATCTAATACATTCATATTATCATATAACCATTGCTACCACTCATGTCCAGAATTCTGGAAATGGGTTCATTAAATAATACTGCCCTTTCCCCCACTCTTTGCAGTAGTAGAAACCACCCCTCTCCTTTCTATGCCTATGGTTTTTCCCATGTGCTAGTCAGCTTTTCATTGCTGTGACAGAATACTTGAGAAAACAACTCAGGGAAGAAAAGAAGGGTATTTTTCCTCACAGCTAATAGTAAGCCAGCTTCGTTGTTGCTGAGCATCATGGTGGAAGGGAGCTGAAGGACACAGGGGAGCAGAGCTGTTCGCCTCATGACCAAGAGTGGTAACAAGAAGGGAGCAGGGCTAAGGTACACCCTTCAAAGGCGCAACCCATTTCTTCTAGCTGGGCCTCATTTTCCACTGTTCCACCACCGACCAACACCAATGGAGTAAACCCAAGGTGCTTCACTAACCTTCTAGGCATCTCTCAACCCAATCAAGTCAGCAACCAAGATCAACCATCATACTCCCATTGTATTTACTTTTTTGATGCTAGTACATTTCACTCAGAGTAATATCTTCAAGGTTCATTTGGGTTGAAGCATGTGTCAGGATTGCTTTTTGAAGGCTGAATAATGTTTCATTGTGGGTCCATTCTACATTTTCCTTGTGCATTCATCAGCCAATGGATACCTGAGTTGCTTCCGTATCTTGTTATTGTTAACAATGCCCCTTTGAACACGGGTATACAAATGTCTTCTCAAGTCCCTACCTTCAATTATTTGGAGGTAGAGCCTCAGGAATGGAATTGCTAAGTCATAGTCTATTTTTCGGTTTTTAAGAACTACCATACTGTTTTCCACAGTGGCTGCAACATTTTGCATTTTCCCTAGCAAGGTACAAGCCAGTTATTACAGAAACCCAAGGTACATGGTTCCAGTTATTACACATCCCTTCATAGAAAGAAAAGCTCTTTTTTAAAAGATTATGAGTCAGATTCTACCAAAGAGCTGAGAGCGTAACTCTTCTCCTAAGAGAACACACCATGGAAGATTTGAACTGCTCACAAGCATCTGGGCAGGAGGAGGGGGGATAAAGCCCCTCGTTTCTTTCCACCTCTGAAGATCTTCAAACTCATGAGGATGGCATAAGGTACTCAGAAAGTGTCTTAGCAGTTCCAAAAGAAAACTGTGATCAACGAGACAGCCACAATGCTGGCCATGAATTGGGGAGGGAAGATGAAAACCGCAAATACTACCGAATAGAATCACCGAAGACTGATGTGATCAAAGTTGTTAACAAGGACCAGGAGGTGAGTCAAGAATGAAGAACTTGCTCCAATACAGTGATCCCCATGTCACAGCAGCTTGACTGTCTCTTGCTAAGGCTATGGAGCTCAGCTGCACAGAACCTCTCCAGGCAGCTCAGCTCAGACAAGATGACACAGCCTGCCCAGGGTCCCTGGCTGCTCCCGCCATTCTCCACAAAACGGCAACCACCATGCCAGACATGCCACAGGAACACACAACACAGAGGGTTCCCATGAGCTTTATAGACAGACCACCAAAAAAGATGGTGAAGTACTCCGACCCCAGAAAAATGCTTTACAAAGAACCCCATAAATTCAAATCCCATAAAAGAGAAGGGAAAGAATGGAGGGGAGGGGAAGATGGAAGGGAGGGGAGGGGAAGGAAAGAGAGGGGAGGGAGGAAAGGGAAAAGGAAAAGGAAGGGAAGGGGAGAAAACAGTGTTTCCTCTTTCCAAATAAACTTCTAGAAGCCTATATAAAAGAAATCTGCAAAGGAATTTCATTCAAACTTTTCCTAATACACTCTTCATTTTCAACAGCTTTGATCCAGACAGAGCAAAAAAAAAAAGTGAACTTGGCCAGGCACCAATGGCTCATACCTATAATCCTAGCTACTCAGGAGGCTGAGATCTGAGGATCATTGTTCAAAGCTAGTTCAGGCAGGAAAGTCTGTGAGACTCATTGCCAATTAGCCACCAGAAAACTGGAAGTGGTGCTGTAGCTCAAAGTGGTAGGGTGTTAAGTCTTCAGCAAAAGAGCTCAGAGACAAAGCCCAAGCCCTGAATTCAAGCCCCACAACAGGAAAGGAAGGAAGGAAGGAAGGAAGGAAGGAAGGTAGGAAGGAAGGAAGGAAGGAAGGAAGGAAGGAAGGAAGGAAGGAAGGAAGGAAGGAAGGAAGGAAGGAAGGAAGGAAGGAAGGAAGAAGAGAACAAAAGAAAATGAACTTGGCTAAAAGGGAAAAGTGAGGTTGGTCATATCTGAGCCTCACACTACATGAAACATGAGTTAAAGTGGCCTATCAGGGGAAAGTTAATTTCATCCCACACTCTTTCCATCTTCATTATGAGCAGTGGTATTGGTAACAGACATGCTGGGGAAGGGGGCAGGGCGAGGAGTGTATATTTTTCAGTGTAGGCTGTGTGTGATTGATAATTCTGTTAGATAAACAGAAAAGACTGTTTTATGACTTTTAATGATTTTTATTAGCACACATGAGCTGTAGCAGGAGGAGTTTCCTTGTGACATTTCTACCCATGTATACAAAGCATCTAGATCAAACCCACTGCCTCTCTCCCTCTTCCTGATTCCCTCCTCCTTTTAAAACAACTTCGAAAGATTTTATTGGGGTTCTTTTGTTTTTTGGTTTTTGGTGGGTTCTTTTTGGTCCATCATGGGGCTTGGACTGAGGGCCTGAGCACACCTGTATCCCTGTTCTCCATTGCTGTGACAGGTTGGTTTGTTTTGGTTTGGTTTGGGGGGTGGGGGGCCCTTGGGGCTTGAACTCTGGGCCTGGGTGCTGTCTCTCGGCTCTTTTGCTCAAAGCTAGCACTCTGCCACTTTGAGCCACAGCTCCACTTCTGGTTTTCTGGTAGTTAATTGGAGATAATCTCATGGACTTTCCTGCCCAGGCTGGCTTTGAACCTTGATTGTCAGATCTCAGCCTCCTGAGTAGCTAGGATTACAGGCGGGAGCCACCAGCACCCAGCTTGTTCTATCTTCATATATGTAAATAAACTACTTTGACCACATCTCTCCTTATTCATCCCCTTCATCAGTCTTCTCCTCTCCCACTGAGGACTCTGTCCCTCCCAGAGCTTGTTTTATTTTCCTGTCATTCTGAGATTTGTTTTTTAGTGTGTTAATTGTACCCACGGGTTGCACCATGGTGTTTCAGATAAGAATATTATTTTCATCGGAATAGCCCTCACTACTGCTTTCTTCCCCTTCACCTCCTACTGATCAACAATTTTCATTGAAATTATGCCATTTTCATACATAATTGTGATGCATTTCAAAACTATTCCCCTCCATCTTTCTTTTTCTCTCCCTTTCTTCTTGCTATAGAGTCCCATTAGAATCAAGGTCTATAGATAGATAGATATAGATAGACAGACAGACCAAAACTATCTGCAGACTAGAACAGCCACCTTAAAGCCTAAAGCCATCGGAAGGTGCCATCAACAGCCCCTCTACTGTCGTACCCAGGGATGTCACTTTAAG